CAGTCTATTGGGGAAAACGAGTATGGTAAAACCGGTCACTCAACGATTTTTACTTTTTGAGGCACTTCTTGATCATTTTGAAGCGCAATTTTTTTAGGGCTTCAATATTACACCATATCACAGACACTGATAACACGTAGGGCCGTGTATCTCAGATTTAACATTGTTAAACAATCCCTTTAAAGGGACTATGTCCCATTTGCAGGCCAAAAAAATGAAAAAGTTAAATTCCAACTGCATTTGAAAGATAACACTAATTTAGAACTTCCCTAAAAAAAGGTGGGGCTTGAAAATGTCTTCAAGTGGGAAAATAACGACTATTAGTTGTCAAATCGACTTTAGGGCTATAGAGCCCAAAAGTAATAGTCTTGATATTCAGACAATTGTACCGAATGGTCATACGTTTTATGCTGCGCAAAGATTCAATCAGTTTAATCTTGGCCATCACAAGAAGTAGGTTATTGATGTAGACAAATGCTCATGTATCCTTTACAACTCTTTTCATGTATTTTATTACCAAAGAAGAAAAAAGCCAGTCAGTCACTCAATAGTGTCTAAAAGTGAAGTTTAGCAAGTAAACGGTTTTCCTTGCATAATTTGAATATGAGGACACTGCTAACGTTTAAATTTCACAGATAGGACATACATGACATATTCATAATTCCTGCAAAGTTCTACAGCATTTGAGGTTGGCTGCAAAAGGGACATAGTACCTTTAAGCAGGGAGGTGAGACTTTAACTCACATGCCCTGCTTTAAGCATAATAGTTTGAAGGTGCGTGTGTTTGTCTTAATTATTATTTACGAGCGAGTGAAGCGTTGTTAGCGAGCATAACGAGCGAGATTTGAGGGAAATTCGAGAAAAAAAAAGTTGCACTTTTGAAGGCCAAAAGCAGCCATGATATTGCTGTTAATATATGCAAGGTCTTTCCAGCTTTTGTTTATTTTATGGTACTTCATGTCTTCAAATTTCATATGAGTCACATTGAAGCAATTTCAATGTCATACTAGGGGAATAACTACCTTTCTCAAGAACCTTGTTTTCCTGCATTAACCTATATATGTTTTTTTTTTTTTACAGGAGTGTCTTGTTTATCTAAGATCTTTGGCTTTGCTAGGCTAGCCCTCTGTCCCGGGATCCCGATCTCTCTCTCTCTCTCTCTCTCTCTCTCTCTCCCTGTCTTTCCCCCTCTCTCTCTCTCTCTCTCTGCCTTTCCATCTCTATCAATCTCTCGCTCTCACTCTGTATCCCATTTTCTCATTCCCTCTTCCTTACCCTTTCCTTATCTTTCACATTTATTCCCTCCCTTTGTCTCTTTCAGTTTCTCTCTAAAAAAAAATCCATTATTACCCCATTATTGCCGAGTTGGGGGGGGGGGGGGTGGGGGGTCCCTCCATATCGTGGTGGATGGTCTATTCACAGTCAGTTCGCTTTCCCTCCCTGTTTCACATAAGCTGACAATTACGTATTGTGTCTTCAATATCTCTTCAATAAGTCTCGATGACAAAATATTTAACATCCAAATATCCATAAATATTATAAGGGTTTTAACGATTAATAGGGGGAAATACATTAAAAAAAAAAAAAAAAAAAAAAAAAAAATCAATTTATTTTTTAGTTAAAACAAAAAGACCAAATTTTGGGTGAAATATGACGCACGCCTAACCTCCAGATTTCCGTATGGTCTCTGATCACCATTGTGTGCATTTTGTTCATTGATAAAAAATCTCTTTTCTGAAGATACCGAAGTACCATCGTCATATTCGGAACTCGTCCAGGTTACGGGTTCTAAACAACAGAACCTGCGCATGAGGTTCTCCGCGGAATCAATCAAGCAAGGGGCTGAATCAGAGCAGATTCATTTTTTGGCGCTGTTATGATCGCCACACCATTGTTCAGCACATGTCTGTAACTAGTGCAGCCGTGACAACTTGGCCGGTATGACGTCACACTTCGGTACTCTTATAGACCAACCCTGCAAATGAAAGAAATGGCTTACTTTTTTAAAACTTTTAAACTTGTAACAATATTTTCCGGTAGAACGCTTCATCGATGACCCAAAAGCAGTAAATTAGGCCAAGGCGAAAGCTTAATTTCAAATGAATAGTTTGTACACAAAGTATGGCTTGTGTAACTTTACAGCTGGGTCAATATAGACGAATTCAGTAACAATTATGTATTTTAAAAAACAAAGGGGAAGGTTACAATAAGCGAAGTGCAATTAGGCTACCTGAATGCATCCCTTAATTTATGTGTGTCATTTAAGGATTTCTCCCTCCGTTAATACCCCTCCCCCCTCTTTCTATCTTTATGTACTTATGATAATTGCGAAGACAATCAACATATCGACACTGGCGATTTCAATATTCATATGTGTCATTCCCTGTCAAGTGTTAACATTAAGAGATATTAAATATTGAAATGAATATGAATTGTATAGGAAATAAAATAGGGTGTTGAAAGAGAATCGAATATAAATATTTTCCTTTTATTAGTATATAGGTCCGGCTCTCAACGTGTTTACCAGCCGATTTATTCCAAATCTGGTTGCACAATTACATTAAAGGATGTTAATATGTAGTCAGTTCGGGTTAAGTTTAGCGAAGTGACTGGTGATCAGAAGGCGGAATGTTGATAGTACAGCAATGTAGTATCAAAACCAAATGTAACATGTAACAGAATCAAAATGTAACATCCATTGCTTTAATTCGAAGTCATGTCAGCGCATGAAAAGTATGAATCTACTCTCGCTGCTGTATATTGATATTGTCAGATAATAGGTGATTTAAGATTATCTGTGTTTGTATAGACAATACGGATGTTAAACAAGGTTAAGTCTAGTGTTGTAATTAGGCTGCCTGTTACAGCACTTCACATGATTAATGATATAAACATGATAACATTCGGAAGTTGCAACTTAAAACGAAACCACTTGAGGATTTAATGAGAGAGAGAGTGAATTAGCATTATTGTGGTTCAGATTGAAAAAATAAATCTCCTTGTACAATGTTTATAATTAGTTGCTGGGTATACCGGCTTTTGTTTCAGATTACACCAGTTTGAATTTATTTAAAGCTAGATTTAAGGATGAGAGAATGTAATCTCAGTTTGTAAATGTAAAGATAAAACGACGACAATGAATTACAAATTATACAAATACCTTATATTTCATATATATTGATTATTTTTTATAGATCTGTTTCAATCTTTTACATCGTTTATAGGTCATCCCCTGCTTGGTTGTTTATTTACTTGTATTTTATTGTAAGTCCTCTTAGTATACCTTGCATATGATTTATTATTGTCTACAGAACATGATGAAAGTATGAAGGGTGTTGCTCAATAACATTCATGTATAACAAGTGTATTCCTCTTTTGGACCAGTTTTGGAAACGCCCTCTTCTCAAAAAATGAAAAGGAAGCTCTTATTACCAATCATGTGAAAGAATATGTTTTGACTAAAACGTGATGATACAAATTTTGCTGGGAAACCGCCTTCTAATTGACATATGTGGTAGATTATTATATCTATCCAGACTGGATTGATATCGGGTAGTCCCATATACATCTTTCTGTGTACAGTGCTTGTAACTTTACCAAGACTGGGCCAAATTTCTTATTATTTTGATGATTCCAGAACCTTGCAGTACACACCAATACTTTTATATGCTAGATGATCAACCTTTTATGATTGGTTCCACAACGTTTCTCTCACAATGCAATCGCATGACCAGAACTGGTCTACACCTACGAATTTCGAATGATCTGATTTTTCCCAGGTTTACTGTCGAAACCAAAATGAAGGATTGTTTACCTAAATGCAAATAGCAAATTATATTACCAGATAACAATCCGACATTTTGTTTGCTCCAAGAATCAATGTTCACCTAATTCGCACGGATCACATAATGGATTTGAACTGAAACCGGTCGCCCAAGAGGTCACTTTCCTGTAAACGGATGGGCCTGAATGTCACAGTGGCGTAGAAACAGAATATATTTCGTGGGGGGGGGGGGGGGCCCATGTCTCTTGATAAATGAGAGAGGGAGAGAGAGAGAGAAAGATAGATAGAGAGGGAGAGAGAGAGAGAGAGAGAGAGAGGGAGAGAGAGAGAGAGAGAGAGAGAGAGAGAGGGATCGTACATTGAAAAGAAATGAAAACAGGAGACGGAATTTGACGTGAAGATCATGAAACGACCGCTCTCCCTGGTACAAACCCTCGTCTGTCGCTGCGCTAATAGTAATAGTGTCTGCACTGTGAGAATAAGCGTACAGGGGAGGGGGGGGGGGGGGTGTTTCACAAAACTGGTCATCAGTGACAAAATGAGCTACTGAGATCCTTGCTTCTGATTGGTAATCAGCACATTTTTTCACAATTTTTTGTCAGTTGTCATTGTAAAAAGACTTTGTGAAACACCCACCAGGTCACTGCATATAGGCTCCGTACTTAAACTGGTCTGGATACAGCCATAGACTGACAGGGCTAGGCTCTGTTCAAGGCTGTAGGAATTCCGGTAAAGTGTCAAATTGAAGTACGTGTCTGCATGACAACTCCCTTCCCACAGTCTCATCCAGGCGCGGATCCACGGGGGGGGGGGGGGGTGCCAGGGACCCCTGGCAAAAACAGTTAAAAAAAACGGGCCCCCAACCCTGGCAAAAAAAAAATGTGGGAAAAGTTTATTACCACAATTTTACCTTTAAAAAGATTAAACAAATTAAGTGCCCCCCCCCCCCCCCAGTTGCTATGGATTTGAATCGACCACATCACTGCGAGACTGTGAGCCCCTGGCGGTTTAACATCAAAATGATATAGGAAATAAATTGTAGATTAGATGTTGTTGCAAGTATTGTTTAAAATCACATGGCTATTATTATATTTTTTGTCATTATTATCAATATTATTATCGTTATTATTATCCTTTTTATCATTAGAAGTAGCATTATTATTAATATTATTATTATTACTCTTGATTATTATTACTGTTCATATTACTTCCACAGCCACCATTATTAAAAGCCCTGGTGGATGGTCATCCGTGGAAGGGTCAAATTTCACTCTTGGATGCTGGGTAAGCCTCACAAATAACAACATGAATGCCGACACCGTATGCCGAACCAGAATCCGATTCACGAAGAACTCGACGAGCATTGCCGAAGGCCCGAGGCACATCCGTTCGGGTTCTACTCGGGATGTAAATACCAACCGTATCAACTGCACCATGACGATATTTCGGCTACGTTTGGAAGACTCCGGGTTGTACGGGTGCTGCTGGCCTGACGTCGCGGGGATGTGTTCCCGTCATCCGACCAAGATGCTTACAGTCATGCCAGCTTTAACTGGAGGTGGGTATATTGATTGATGCTGTATAATACATGTACACTGACTGTAAACAATATTACGAAAAATAAGTGGGGGATGCCGGGGGGGGTGGAGGCTGTATGACTAATTAGTAACTGTGCCCATAATCATCAGGGGCGGGGCACGATTTACCTATTTACGAGTCTACGACGCATACAAGAACACCGACCCTGTTTAAAACTTCACGTACATGAACAAAAAGCTAAACAATGAAAAACAAACATCAACAAAACAAGACAAAAAATAAATCAAAATTACCAAACAATGTTAGAAGTGACATTTTATTCTCTCAGAACGGATATAAAAAAGATGTCCAGCTGCCAAAGTGGTCGAACTTAAAGCAGCTCCTTGTTCACTTGACCCTTAAAGGCCCACTGTACTACTTGTAGCTACTTGCGCCCTCTATATAACAAACAATGCCTAATCGGTGACCATTGGTCCCCCATGATCCTCTTTTTCTTATGTTAACTGAGAGCTGGGTTGATGAGATAACCACCTGTCCAGTGACCTTGCAGGGCAGTCTAATCCCTCCTGTAAACTACGGCAGATAAGCTGAAGTTTTGCCCCAGCATGTTTTACTTTTCTGGCATCGCCTTCTTCTGCTTTGTTGTGACTATTTGTTACTTTATTAGAGTAAATTGAACTGTTTCTATTAAATAGAAATGTGACTATATTCAAGTCGTTATAATAACTTCCATTTTTGTCGTCAAGTTTTTATGTCTGGTTTTATCATTTGCTTCATCATTTTATTTTCGTGCTGCTTTTTTGTCCAGCTCCGACCACTACTCCAGAGTCACCGACTACATCATTAGACAGGCTGCTGACAGGGAGTAGAGCACCCAGTGAACACAACGAAGTAGTCTACCGAACAATCTCAATGAGGAGCAGTACAGCATCATCAGGTGTGTAGCCCTAAGGGGGAGTAGGGGGGGGGGGGGGTATCCGGCTTTTGCAATGTGACCCATTTTGAAACCCAAATACCTTGAATGCTCACGACAAATTGTCCTTTTAATTCAGGAATCTTTCCAGATTGTGCCCCTGTTTTAATACAAAATACCTGATCCACGTCCTTTGCTATAAATGTGATAATGAGATAGATTTAATGAAAGCAGTCTGTAGCTCATTCCAGAACTTGGTAATGTGTGTATAGTAAGTATAATATTTATAAGAGCGGTTATGGTTGAAAATATGATGTCACTCACTGAGCACGAACAAAATGAAACTCTCAATAGTAAATGAGACCGCCGGGATAGTTCATCGTCCCGTCAACGTACCCTGCAAACATCCGCAATAACAAGAATGTCCTCGGCATGTCGAAGAAAAGAAGTCGTCTTCTGAGATGGAGTAAACGTCCTGATCAGACGAAATAAGGAGGGAGTAAAGAGCAAACAGGGTCATGGCCATACCTCTCTGATTCCTTCTATCTTGAATTTTGATTGTAGAGTGCATGGAAGGAATTTCAGATCGGAATGCAAATAGAGAGGTCATTTGTGATTTCACATTTGGGTCAAAGGTCAAAGTGAACAATACATTACAGTTTCACTTTAAGAAGCCGTGTCGTATGTCGCACCCTGGGGGTAGTTCCAGGATTTCAAGAAAGAGATCAGAGGGGGAGGAGAGGGATTAATCTCCCCAAAATTTAAAAAGCAGGGATTCTAGGTAAGGAGATATTTACAAAAGAGTTTGAATATTTGTTCGATAAATATATCTCATTCCCTTTTAATGCACCAGTGCTCATTTCCAAAATGTGTTGTTATTCTTGCTACATGTAATAAAACAATCGCGAAGGCTTTCACAAAAAGATCAATTAAAAGGCGATTTTAATATCCCATTGTCATTTGAGCTGCTCACAAAAATGATGTTCGGGTTATATGATATGTAAGTGTACTGTTCACAAACTTGATAAGGTGATACTTTGGGGCTATTACACTTGCCTCAGGTTATATTGCTTGCTTGAAAGTCTTCGTGATTGTGAACAATTTGTCTCCTTGTTATTCTCTTTGTCTCTCTCTATATACATTTCTCTCTTTCTTTATCTCTCTATGTAATTATATAACCCTACCTATCTCTGTTTCTAGCTGCATCTCTCTCTCTCTCTCTCTCTTTTTTTTCTCTCTCTCTCTCTCTCTCTCTCACTATATATATATATATATATATATATATATATATATATATATCTTTCTATCTCTCTATATCTCGCTATCTCTCCTCTTTTCGTCTCCTTGTCTCTCTATCTGGCTCCCGTCAATACATACGAATTTTCCATGAAACTCAGAAATTCAATTTCGATGAAGATTTATATTCTTCATTTGATATCTTTTTTAAAACTATATTTTCACCTTGAATTCATGACCCCCCCCCCCCCCCCCCCCCATTTTGTTGTTGTTGATAAGCCAGTGCTTCACAGATTGCTAAACTTTGTCTTCATTTTCGATTTCAACTTACAGGTAATACAAAGTTTTGGGGAATTTTGGAAATTGGGTGGATAGTGATTCTTAACAATTTTGATATATTTGGATGCCCCTGTGGATGTATTATAAGCACAAGAAAATTTAGCCCCTAAACACTTCTGCTTTCGAGAAAAATGGAATATAACAATTTATCGGTGCTCCCTGTAAATTTTGATAAATTTTAAAAAGCGCCTACGGCTGTACAATGGTAGCTGCGACCATGAAAATCTCAGAATATGCAGTTGTGATATATAATTTCCAAACGGGAATAGCTAATCGGTCGATTTTAGTCTAGAAATACTGTTTTATAGCTTAATAATATCTTGACCTTCAGAGGTAGCTATACAACATAATGAGTTTATTATTTACAGTTTCATAACTTTAGACTCGATTTCAACCGCGACAACGATCACTGATTATTGTAGGATCGCATATGCTTCCAAAATGTCCATTTGAACCAAATTTATGACCCTATACCAAAACTTTGTAATACCTTTAATACCATCAGCTCTGTGACCCACCGTGTTATGAGGTCAGTGTTGACTTGCTCTTGATCGACGACGTCCAAAAAGCAAACACAAATTGCCCTTGTTGACATGTCTAGACATAAATCATATCATACAATTTATATTTGTGTACGGGGATGACCTATAAACTGTGTGACCTTTGTGTGGCATTTCACCATACACCACAATATACTAAGAACTTTATGTTTTTTCTAGCCCCCCTATATATACAATATGAATTTGCATGTACTATCTCTATCGTCAACTATATAGTTTATATAAGTAATGACATTGCGATATATTGACAAAGCTTTTCATCCAAATTATCTGTTCATTTCGTGTAAAGGTATTTTTTTGCGATAATGGATACTCTTGTCTAGGTACTCGTATCAAATATGTTTAAAGAATTCGTTAAACTGATCACCATTTTTGTTTTTACCTTGGACTTTAACTATGGGAAATCCTTTTTTAGAGAGCCAACGGGTTATGAGACCTTGCTTTTGAACATCTAAACCATTTATTTATTTTTCAATTTCAAATTTAAAGTGACTCAGTGACATTGTTGAAGGTTGATGAAAAAATTTAATTTTTGTGTGGAATGTTACTTATTATATTCCTTCTACTGTACTTACCCTCTAACATGCAAATATTCCTAATGAAATTCTCAAACCACACAGGTGTTTATGGTTTTCTTTGAAGGCGTCACTGTGCTACACCCTCTAACAGTGATTAACAGTAAATTCTCCCAACCATTTTTGAAATTATCCAACCGTTTTTCCTTGAAAATAAGACATAAGATAGGCTTTTAAAAATATGTCAACACTTAAATGTCTGGAATGGTATAAAAAGCCAATTTATTGCTCTGTGATGATTTTCATTCACCTAAAATGTAATTAAAATAGTTCTGTTCAGTGGGAGAATCGATCAGATCAGTTTTTCCCTATTTTTATCAATAATAATATTCTGTTTTCACTCAAACTTTCTGATTATCTTTAATTGTACATTTAGCACCGAAGTCACTACCTTAGCACCATTTTCTCTCATCTGAACAATGTTACAAAGTCCCTTTAATTCCTATTTACTTTATCTCGATTTGCTGTTCATACAGCAGTGCTAAATTTACCATAACAAAGCGCAATTTCATATAAACATGTGAACAACACAAAATGATTGAGTGAGGTGTAACCTTGTATTGACACGCAAATGAAACAAATTTCCAATCATTGGAAATAAATTTGAAAATGAATATGAATATGAATAATAATAATAATACATAAGATTTATAACATTTATTGACAGTCAAATGCTCAAGGCGCAGCTTGTGCAAAAGATGAAATACATACATGGTACATTTATACAGAGTGCAATAGGAAAGGTACAGACATGAAAGGTTATGGTAATCAATTATAAGCTACATTAAAGATAAACTTGAGTTCTGGTAATGCGATTGCATTGTGAAAGAAAAGGTGTGGAATGGATCAGAAAAGTTGATCATAAAGCATGTAAGTAATGGTGTGTAATGCAAGGTTCTGGAGTCATCAAAATCATCATTAATTTGGCAGAGTCTTGGTAAAGTAACAATCACTTACACAGAAAGATGTATAGGAGACAACACACATGGTGTCGGGGCTAGTACTACCCTGATTTCCTTATCTTTCTATGCTCATTACTCAGCCAGTATACATTTTCTTCCAAAATTGTTTGGCACATGACATTTATTTGTAATCTTGAACATTCAGTGTAAGTTTCGTTAGATTCTGTGAGAATTCATTTTCTTTTTTTTACCAGAACTCAAGTTTATCTTTAAACAGATCTTAATGTCCAAAAGATGTCATATAAAATCATATTATACACGCGACTTATTTTATATCTACTCATTTTACTTTCTTTTCCCTCGGCAACATGAGGAAGTGGTTAGTCCTATTGTACCATTCTCTTACATTTAAATTACCCATGGGAAAATGACGGCATCTCTGTTTATACAGTCAAGTACCATGAAATAAAAGAGTGTGAGAAAACGCGTTCTAATAGGTCAAATCGGATTGCACAATCCTTTGCATCCTTTATGATTATAGACTTCTCGTTTTTAATACTTTTTCTCTTTTCTTTTGATTATTTTCACATTCAGGAGGAGAAAATGAAGCCTACAATCAGAAATCGAGATCCTCTATTCATAAGACAATCTGGCCGCTTCTTCTTGTGATAGCAGTTCTTGTGGTAAGTTCGCAGACTTGGAAGCTGTATATCTAGGCGCGGATCCGGGGGGGGGGGGGGGAGGCGAGCGAGCCTTGCCTTCCAGGCTGTTGCCCCCCTCCCCATCAAAAAAATAAGAGAGAAGATAGGAAAGGGAAAGAAAAAAGGAAAAGAGGGGGGGGGGCGAAAGGTCGAAAGGGCCTTGCCTTCCAGGCTGTTGCCCCCCCCCCCCCCTCCCCATAAAAAAGTAAGAGAGAAGGAAGGAAAGGGAAAGAAAAAAGGGAAAGAGGCGGGCGGGGGCGAAAGGTCGAAAGGTCCTTGCCTTCCAGGCTGTTGCCCCCTCCCCCCATAAAAAAAAAATAAGAGAGAAGGAAGGAAAGGGAAAGAAAAAGGAAAAGAGGAGATAAAGGGAAGGGAAAAGAAGAAAAGCTTTCGGGGCTCTGCCCCTGGACCCCACCAGGGGGTCTAAGGCAGGCCCCTGAATGCTTATCTGACCGTTATAAAATGCTACAAAATGTTACAGGGGGCTCAGCCCCTGGACCCCATGCCAATTAGTGACCTGACAGTGTCATGAATAAGGTATCAAAATATGCTTATCTGACCCGACTTAAATGCCCATATCCCCTTGACCCCTACCAGGGCTTTGCCCTTAGACCCCACGTCAATATACGCTACGCTCTACCTGATCGTAAATACTTTAGCCTCCCCCACTATCTTTGAAAAACGTTCAGCGGGGCATGTAAGAGTGGGGGTGAGGCAGATTTTTTGTCTGCCCCCCTCCAAACATTTTGCTCATTACGCCACTGCTGGTCACCATTACGTACTAATATTTGGCTCGCATAATTTCAAATTAGCCCCCCAAGAAAGAAATCCTGGATCCGCCCATACTGATACCTTCATATTGTCAACCGAAGGTCGTTCACACGACGACTGAATAGTAAGACTAAACTGCTTGAGCGGCTGTCATTGAAATTCTGTTCCTTTTCTTTCTTGTTTTCAGTATGCTTTTTAACTTTGATAGATTTTGTCTTTTTTCTTTATTTGTTTTGTTTTTCTTTTGTATTTGTTTGCCATGTATCGTCTGCCCTTAACAAGCTTTAATACCCCCCCCCCCCCCAACAAACAAAAAAATGTCCTTTTTCTAATAACCGTGTGGACGCCAGGTGAATGTCACATACTGTTTATTTTCCAACTATCAAAACATTACGCGAACCCTCCTCATCAGCTGCGTTCAAAAATTGGTAAAGTTTCGAAATTCTAGGCACCCCCACCACCCGCGCATCATGTACTTATGGTGGTGATGATATAAATACATATGCATACATGCCAACATTTGAAAATCAGAAATCTGTACAAATTATGCTATTTTTAAAAAAAAAGAGGAACAATCCTAACTCTCCTATTCAATACTACAGACAAATTTGTACAGGAAGAGGAACACCTGCATTAAAATGATAATTATCTTCTCCCAAAAAGAGGAATGTTCCTCTTTAATCTGAACAGTTGGCATGTATGCATATGGTTATTATGATAATCAAATTTGTAAGCACAATACAATTACTTACGACAAATTACCTTCGGGAATACAATGATGTATTATTTGGGTAAATCAGTTACTGTGATTCCCACGAGGTTAGCTGAAATACGTGACATTTTCCAGCCGATGTGAATTACATAAAAAAGTGGAGCAGTAACCCCCGAGGCATTTACCTCGTATAAAGTCCAACTTGACCTTTTATATCAAGATTTATTTCCAATTCATGGGCCGACGGCATCAACGTTGCAATATTTGTTGTCATCAATATGTCGGTTTTGCACAGGCCAAACAAGGATGATGGGTCTTCCTGCCATTATTTTCTTGTCTTGGGGTCAAATGTTTTTATCTGAAACAACGATATTAAAATTAGTGGTATGTCTGAAATTTGAAATAGTTTAACGAAAATAGAGAACCTGTTCAGTTTCTTTCCGATCTAATTTGCCTGTTTTCTATGTATGAGTTTGCCGTAATTCATTTATGTCTGGAAAACACTATAAACTATGTTAAAGGAAATATTCTTCTTTTTCGTCTTCTCCTTTTTCTTCTTCATTTTCTTCTTCTTCTTCTTCTTCTTCTTTTTCTTCTTCTTCTTCTTCTTCTTCTTCTTCTTCTTCTTCTTCTTCTCCTTCTTCTTCGTCTTCTTCTTCTTCTTCTTCTTCTTCTTCTTCTCCTTGTTCTTCTCCTACCCTCCTCTCCCCTTCTTCCTCTTTTCGCTCTTCACTCTTTTTTCCTCACCTCTTTCTCTTCCTTTTTCTTTGCTTCTTCTACTTCCATCTTCTCTTTCTTCATTCCTCTTCTTATTTTCCATTCCTACGACCACCATCACCACAATCTTTTACCATCTGTATTGTGCCTGCAGTTGATGATTTATAAAGTATTTTTTTATTTCTCTGATTTCGTTTGTTTGGTATACGTATTCAGATCCTCATCGTACTTGGCAAGCGATACGTGAAGAGGAAATCGTCCGACGGACACTCATCAGTTACGTCCAGAGACCCGGAGAGTCCGGACCATGTATCAACGGTCCTCGACCACAGTTTTACATACGATACAGACAGTGGGGTTGCTACCACCACTACCACAACCACCACAACAGTGCTCAATCGATTACAGGATGAAGATTCGCAGAGATGATCTCGAAGTTTACATATTTGAGGAGTTGACACCTATTGAAGTAAAGACTAGTAAAAGACTAGAGACTGAAAACAATGAAATATAATCCTAAGCTTCAAGCTGAAACCTTGTGCAAGATGGTTTAGATTGTTTGTAGAAAAAGTGGGATGTATTGATTGAAAGGCTAACGAGAGACTGAAAAGAGACATGAATTAAATCTCGTCCGTTTGAAGTCGTTTGACCCCGTTTGACCTTTTATTCGGTTCAAAGGTTATTGGCATGCCTATATAATGAACACTAAAGATGTGCCAATAGTCACAATGGTGGTGCTGTCCGTGCAAGAGTGAAGAAATGCAAAGAAAATGTAGGCCTAATGAGACTGAATGTGCTGATTTCTTCACTGTTTTCAAAATTGTATTTTTAAATAATTATATAGCATTAACAATTAGCAAACATTTATCGAACTTGAGAAAAATGAGTGAATATACATGAGTAGGCCTACTAAGAGTGATTCAACACTACGAAGATCTCACTTTACATATTGATGGCAGGTCAAGTCACCAACATGCATAAGAGAGAGAGAGAGAGAGAGAGAGAGAGAGAGAGAAATAAGGGATGAGACAAACACAGAGAGAGAGAGAGGGGCATATATTATATGATGAAACAAATTTGAATGTCTGTACGAGCTGTGCCAATCTGTTTAAAATATATATTGTGATAGGCCTAATATTATACATGTATATACTAGAATCGATGTATCCATTCGCACTTGCATTATTCTTATATTTTGCCCATCTAAAAGTACTTATTACTACATTTCTGTACACTGTATTGAATTTTGTACTAAATACCATGAACATTATTTTTATGATGCATTTTGAAAAGAAACGTCGTGTATTACTGAAAGAATGGAAAGTCGGACTACTTGTGTTTTTCATTATTCCCGGTATGCAAACGCTTCCTTTGTGAGAGCGTACGACTCCCGGGTACGACTTGAAGGTTTTGCGCAAGGGCGTATCCAGGATTTTATAAGGGAGGTTTTTTTCTTCTTCCCAATTCGTGAGAATATATTTAGCGGCGAATCAGCTAGCCGGTAGATAAGGAGGGGGATGGGGGGGGGGGGGGGGTGGTGTTTGAACACCCAAAACGCCTCCCTCGATACGCCAATGGCTTTGTTTCATGGACACAACAAAACTGCTGTCAAAGTAAACTTCTATAAGATTTGGAGTATTAGCATAGCCAGATATTCGCACGTTTTGATGGATATGAACGTTCGAAAATTGAACAAAGGTGTAGGCATAGTCTCACAATTACTGCTAGAATAGAATAGTATTTACATGTACCAGTGATTTACTGTTACATATCCAATCAAATATTCAAATTTTGTGACAAAACGTAATTTCAAGATATTGCTTAATATCTATAATGGGGTATAAGGGAGAATGAATGAGATATCGAACAACATATTCTGTTTCTGTATACATTGTAAACCTTGTATAATACTGTACTACATTGTTTTCCGTGCTGAATGTAACGCTTTATGCAATTACCTATTTATCTTTTTGTGTGTATGCAATTCTTAAATAAGCTGCTATCGCAATGCCTGTAGTAGAGTGGGTTAACTTTCAGTTTACAGTGGTGTTTTGTACTTCGAGTCTTTGAAACCAACATTATTTATGAGCTATTGATGCAAGAACTTGGATTGATAACGCGATCATAATGACTTCCGAGAAATAAAATCGCCCTGTCCATCAGCCATTGAAATGTGTGAACATTGGAATGTCGCATATTACGAATCTAAACATGATTTATGTGGGATATACACACTATGAATATGACGGACAAAGAAAGAGGACAAAATATGCAGTTCCTTATTCTACCCTCAACAATTGCTGTGGTAGACAAAGGAACATCCCTTCACTGCTATTATGTAAAAATGTGTATTCACATGTATATTCACCTGTTCTACACATTTTTACAGAATAGCAGTGAAGTGATGTTCCTTTGTCTACCACAGCAATTGTTGAGGGTAGAATGAGGAACTGTATATTTTGTCCTCTTTCTTTGTCCGTCATATTCATAGTGACAATAGGGTATTGTAATCTAGCTTCCGTTCATTACTTGAAAGTCTTTGTGATCTTGTTACAATTGTAAATTTCTTCAACATTTCATCAAGCAATATTGAAACAGTAATAATATGTGTGAGGTTAAAACCTCTATGCACGCTATAAATATATATAATGATATATATTTTGAATTGTTGATGTTGGGTCCAAATGTTGGCTTATATGTATATGAATAATTAACAAAGTGCTGAAATAAATACATCTTTTTATATATATTTCTACTTCAAAATGTGTGTTGTCTGCATTTGTTCTCGAATATTTTGTTTTGCCATCTATATCTGTATTTCGTATCTCGGGGGAATGATCTGTAGAGGTGTCGTGGTCGAGTGGAAACGTCCCCGGACTGTCGAACACAAGGTCCGCGGTACGAGTACCGCCGCTGCACTAATGCCCTTTGGCAAGGCATTGATCTACATTTGCCACACTCGACCCAGGTGATGTAAATGGGTACCTGGCAGGAATTAATTCCTTGAATTGCTGGAGCGCTGTAGGCCTTTAATGGCAGCTAGGCTAAAGCTGGGGTAATAACAAATGCGCCTCGGAATAGAATTTCTAGATAGACAGCGCTATAGAAATACCTTTTATTATTAATATTATTATTATTATTAAAGAAAAAAGAGAAACAAATCGAGTAAGAGATGTGAGAGAGAACGGGGTGAAATAAAAAGATAAGTAGGAGGTCAGGAACACTTAAAAATTTGATATACGTTAATTTTTACATGTTTTATGTAATTTTAGGACGATGTGAAATGTGGGTATCAAAAGAAAGACAAAGAGAGATGAGAGAAGGACAAAGAGAGAGAGAGAGAGAGAGAGCGAGAGAGAGGGAAAAATAGAGAGAGAGAGAGAAAGGGGGGAGCTAGTGTGGGAAAGAGAAAAACAAGAGGGAGAGAGAGAGAGAGAGAGAGAACGACAGATCGAGACAGACAGAGAGAGGCAGAGACAGACAGAGGGGTAGAGATCGATCGAGACAGGGAGACTGAGAGGGGGAAGAGGGGAAAGAGGTGTGGATGGGTGAAAAGGTAAGAAAAAAGAAGACGCCAAGACCCACTGCCATCAGGGACGTTGCTAGACCTTATTCAGTGGGGGGGGGGGGGGGGGGGGGGGGGGGGTGTAGAGGCCAACGATTACCGACAAAACTAGCCACCAATTACCGACAAAATTAAATGTCCCAATATCTACAAATTTAACCCTATAAATCCGGGGCCGAAGGCTGAATTATTTTTCCTATGGACTATCTATAGTACTTGCGTATGCGCAAAGGGTCATTTTCCTCGACGACATGAATATACGAATTATTTCGTCAATTTATTCAGCATTATAGCTATATATTTTAATGCAGGCGCGGAGCTAGGATCTTATTTTAGGGAGGGGCGGTAGTGAGCAAGCGAATCACCTTAAGAGCGCGCGGAAGCTTAGACGTTTCCTTAAATTATTAGGAAAAGAAGACGATTTATCGTACCGTTCTCGACTGTTAATCCTTTTCTGAATGAATTCCCCCCCCCTCCCCTCCTCCTCCTCCTCCCGCGCGAAGCGCGAAAGCTTTGACGTTTCATTAAATAATAGAGAAAGAAGGCGATTCTTTGAACCGTGCTCCACTCTTAATCCTTGTCTGGATGAAGTTTCCCCCTCCCGCACAAAGCGTGGAAGTTTTGACGTTTCATTGAATTATTAGAGAAAGAAGACGATTCGTATACCGTTTTCGACTCTTAATAAGCCCTAATTGTCTGAATAAAGTTTCCCCTTTCGCGCGAAGCGCGGAAGCTTTGACGTTCCTTAAATTATTAGAAAAAGCAGACGATTCGTCGTACCGTTTTCGACTCTTAATCCTTATCTGAATTCAGTTTTCCTCCGCCCGCGCGAAGCGCGGAAGCTTAGACGTTTCCTTAAATTATTAAAGAAAGAAGACGATTCGACGTACAGTTTTCGACTCGTCTAAATGAAGTTTCCCCTCCCGCGCGAAGCGCGGTCGCTTTGACGTTTCATTAAATTATTAGAGAAAGAAGACGATTCGTATACCGTTTTCGACTCTTAATAAGCCCTAATTGTCTGAATAAAGTTTCCCCTTTCGCGCGAATATACTGGTAGCGATATACTTCTTTATTGCTTGCAGCGAGGAGCCATTGCGGTCCTTCAACTCGGTGATTGCTGTAGCAATCACCGTGTGGTGGACTGTTGCTAAAATCGATTTTGATTCGTCATTATTGATTTACCAACAGAAGCCATTGGACCGCGAAGCGCGGAAGCTTTGACGTTCCTTAAATTATTAGAAAAAGCAGACGATTCGTTGTACCGTTTTCGACTCTTAATCCTTAGCTGAATTTAGTTTTCCTCCGCCCGCGCGAAGCGCGGAAGCTTAGACGTTTCCTTAAATTATTAAAGAAAGAAGACGATTCGACGTACAGTTTTCGACTCGTCTAAATGAAGTTTCCCCCTCCCGCGCGAAGCGCGGTCGCTTTGACGTTTCATTAAATTATTAGAGAAAGAAGACGATTCGTTGTACCGTTTTCGACTCTTAATAAGCCCCAATTGTCTGAATTCAGTTTCCCACTTTAGCGCGAAGCGCGGAAGCTTTGACCTTTCCTTAAATTATTAGAAAAAGCAGACGATTCGTTGTACCGTTCGCGACTCTTAAACCTAATTTGTCTGAATTCAGTTTCCCCCCTCTCGCGCGAAGTGCGGAAGCTTTGACGTTTCCTTAAATTATTAGAGAAAGCAGACGATTCGTTGTACCGTTCGCGACTCGTCTGAATGAATATTCCCCTCCCGCGCGAAGCGCGGAATTTTGGGCGTTTCATCAAAATATAGAGAAAGAAAGACGATTAGTCGTACCGTTGTTGAATCTTTATCCTTGTTTGAATTTAGTATCCACGAAAATGTCAACTATCTGATTTCTTTAGCTGATATTATAGGAAAGTAAAACTTCTAGAAAATACAAGTATTGTAGTTGTAGTCACTCTCGAAGTCGTCACAGCGGATAAAAAGTCACAGTTCGTAGGGAAAAAAACTTGTCGGCCGACCGACAATATATACATCTCACCGACTTTAAACTTCTGTATTGATATAGTACACGAGGATCGAGCAAGAATACCGACATAGCTGACCCGACAAAGCAACATATTTACCCGTGTCTAATTTCTTGACGAGACGACTCCACCAAACAACCACCCTCTCTCTTTTACTCCCACTCCTTCTCTCTCAGGCTCTTACCTCCCCCTCTCTGAGACTTAATTTATCAAAAATGTAAATTAATCAGCCTAATCACACATTTTTGTAATGAATATCCGGACAATTCTATGTAAATTTGTCGCCTATTTTACTCCAAGAGAGTCGCTAGGTCAGCATGCAAAATGTCCTTTGCCTTCCCAGATCAGACACATACACGCTGAAGTGCCCTCAGAATATGTGATTATTTTTCCGATTTTTATGTTCAAATGTGACGGAAAAAATATAAAAATCAAACAAACATTAATTTGTAGAA